CCGGTCGACTCGGAGTGGTGGGGGTCGTCCTGGGGGAACACGACAGACGGGGCGGGGTCACGTGCGGTAGCTGGCCTGGACCGCCGACCCCGAGGTGTACAGGACTTGCAGAGGCGCCGGGCGCTGAGGTTGGGGCCGTCTCCACCCGCCGCAGTCCAGCCCAGTCATACTGGCGCTAAATTCAGAGTCCCACCCCCTTCACCTTAGCTCGCCCAAGGCCTTCAACCCAGGGGCGGCCCCGACTCCACCCCTGGCCGGGGAGGGGAAGAACCCTCACCTCCCGCGGAAGGGAAACTCCTCGCGCATGCTCAGGTATTCGAGCAGAACGAGCCGCCGACTTCCAGGGGGCCGCCAAGTCCACCTGGCTCCCGCGGACCCGCCCCGACTCTGGACTGCGCAAGTGGTTTCCATCTTTCAAGGTGGGAGGTTTGGGACGGCGAATCTCTCGGGAGAGGCTCTCGGAGGAGCACCTCCTGAACTCACTCACCCTGTGCGGTCTCCATTCTGCCCGGCGCTACCTTACGTAACAACTTCCGCCTCTATCTGCGTACACACACCCCTTCCCGTCTTCCTCCTAGAGTGAGGGACGTTTCATCCAACCCAAAGCAACATTTCTCCCCTTCTCCCGCCCCTTTGTCCTTGTCCTCTTTTCTTAACCAATCAAATCTCCAAAGGCGTGCCTGCCACCCGGCCCCGCGACTCCTGGGAAATAGAGGTGGGCTTTCTTCTAAATCCAAAAAATTGGCTACTCCCTCAATTATTGGTCTTTGGGCCAATGTGCGTGGTAGACTTGGCTCTGACTTGCTCCTATTCCTCCTATGGGAACGCGGGTTGACGATTGACAGAATATTTAGCCACTGGCCCCATGAGTCCCGCCCCTCTCCCATTTCCCCTGAGGATAGCTCATCCAACGGAGATGGCGAGCTAGGCCTGACTCTCCTTCACTCAGGCAAGGGGCCAATGGGATGGTGGGGGTGGGACTCGGGGGAGGAGATTGTTTACGTCTCGCTCGGGAGGGGAAAGTAGGTCAGCGCGCGGGGCTGGAGCGGAGCGCGGCGGCGGCGGCGCCTGAGGTAAGATCGGCGCCTCCCGGGGTGGGGCCCCTGATGGCTCGGCCTACGCGCGTCCCCCAGTTCCTTGACCGCATCGCGCGGGTTCCTTTTGCGCTTCCTGCCCCATCCCCCTTAGGCCTCTCTTAGCGATCTCTTTCGTCTTCGCCCAGCCTTCGGCGCTCCCTTTCGGGAGCGGACCGAACCGCTTGCACCGCCCAATGGGAGAGGGTGCCAGCAGTTGGTGCGGGAGGGTCCCGGGGTGGCGGGGCGTGGCGGAGGCCGGGCCCTGGAAGCGCCGGGCTCCCGAGGGGAGGAGGGCCGAAGGGAGAAAGCGGGGGGGAGGGGGGAGCCAGTCCGACCCGGTCCTGTGTGTAGAGGGGTCCCGCCGGCTACGGCTGAACCACAGCCGACTTGTCGGGGTAGCGGAACCTCCTGTTTGGTCAGAGGCCTGGGAACTTGGAGGGAAAAGCTCCGTGGGCCAGGCCGGGTCGCGCGGGCCTGGCCTCGGGCCTCGGGCGGAGGGAGGCGGAGCCGCTGGCTTGCTCTCCGCGTGTGCGCGTGTCGGGCCCGGGACCCCCCTCCCCCCACGCTCGCACGGTCGGGGCCAACCAGGCCCTTCTTCCCGTTCTGTGAGGGTGGGCCGGCGGGGCCGGGGCCCGGGAGCCCCTGCCTTCCTTTGTTCGCACTTCGGGGGCCCCTTGGCTGCTGGCTTCCTGACCTCGGCCTCCAGCTTGTTCTTGGTCTGGTCCTGTGGGTGTGGTCCCGGGATCACCCAGGCCTCGCACCGGCCTCGATTCTGTGTCAGTCCGTACACATTTCTTAAAGTGGCCTGCAGAGACCAAAGGTTAAGGGAGGCTGGCCTCTGGTAGTGAGGATGTGGCTCCCAGACAGGTAACCCTACTATGTGGCCCGTGCATCCGGGAGGTCCTGGGGGTGCGAGCAGGGGAAGGCCGCTTGTGACCAGGCTTGTCCCAGGCGGTGTTTGAGTTGTGCTTGAAAGGTGGGTAGGAATCCTACAGGTGGAGTAGAGTAGTAGAAGGCATTAGAAACATGAACAGGCGTGGAAGCGGAAGGGAAGGAAAGGAAGAAGTGTGAAGCAGAGATGGGGAAGGGTGGCCCCAGATTGTGAAGGTCCTTGCACACCTGAACTTAGCCTGGGAGCAGAGACACTGAAGGAGGCATTGAACATAGGGGCAAGGTCTGAAAACTGACAGGCGGAGGTGGGGAGTTCCGACATCTTCCAGTTTTGCAGTCTGGATAGTCAGTCTCCTTTTTCAGTCCTCATCGAGGTTGACAATTGGGGGAACTGTTGGATCACTTAACGTTACTTAGCTCATATTCCTTCGGATAGGGTGAATTCTGAATCTTCTTGCCACCTGTTACTTTTAATCTGGCTCCTTTGACTCAGCCTACAGTTGTTATCTATGATTTGAGGTAAGGTGGTGGGAGACAGTTTGGTGTAATAGAGAAAGTGCTAGATAGACTCTGAAGTCCAGACCTGAGTTCAAATTCTCCATCGTTTATTATATGATAAACTATCCAGGCAAATCACTTAAACTCTTTTAACCTGGGTTTCTTCCTCAAAAGTGAGGATGATAATAGAGATTCTCTTTCCCTCCTCACATTGTCAGGATGATAAGATAATATATGCAAAAAATCACTATATAAATGTTAGTATTAAGAACGCCTGGAATTTGAAGTTCGGCCACGTGCCCACCTCTCAGCCTTTCCTCATTTATAAAATGAGGCTATATTTACACTACCTCTCTCACAAAGTTGAGGAATGCACTTTGTAAAGCTTTAAACACTGCAGTGGACAGGAAGTCTGAGGTGTTTTCTTTGAAGTTAAGAAAGATGATATCAGTGTTGCATGGTAATGAACATGGTTTTATTGGTTAACCCAGCAGTGAGCAGTCTGTAAGAGATTTATTTATGCAGACAAAACACTCTTGGAGCCCGATTGATAAATGGAAGTGACAATTTATTACCCTTTTGTAAAAAAAAAGGTATTTTTTTTCCGTTTTCCTTTAGAAATCCTCCCTTGTAGCAGAGCAAAACAGTTGCAGGAAACTTGTCAGTTGATTGTCCAAGTTATTCAACATACTCTGCTACTACCTATAGGAAGTATGTTTTTACCATCTTTTCTCTGAGACCAGAATTGGTCATTTCACTTAATCTGAGTATAGTTCAGTTGTCAGAGTCAAAACTCCCTGCTTTCTAGGAGCTCCTATTTCGCTGGCCCGGTGACTCAGATGCCAGAGCGCAGGCCTTATATTTAAATATTGCCTCAGACATTTAGAAGCTGTGTGACTTTGGGCAAGTCACTTAACCTGTCTGCCTCAGTTTCTTCATCTGTAAAATGGGAATAATAATAATAGTGCCTACCTCTCAGTGTTGAGAGGATCAAATAACATTTATAAAGAGTTTTTACTTTAAAGCACTATGTAATTGCTGACTGCTGCTATTACACACCTCTTAGTGGTTAAGTCTTGAGACCAATTTAAAGTCAGAAGACTGCCTAGCAAGAGAATTGATGATAAAAATGTAGTTAGAGGAAGTTGCTTATATGGTCTTTTAATATAGCTGAACTGTATGAATTGCCCTGCATTTTAGGGATCTTTCTGTCTAAAGAATTGGTGCTAATCATGCTGGATAGTCCTAGAGTCACCACCACTGGCCTTATCAACCTTTAAAAGCTGTCATACCCTATGATGAATTTAATTAGACCAGTTTCTTACATCAGTTTCATTTTAGATTTTTTTCCTGATTGAGCTGTTGGAAAGTTCAGTTAATAAGACTTTAAGTGCCTACTTTGAGTTACATTCTGAAAAAGATCCACCTCTCCTACTCTTCTTCCTCTTGCCCCTCCCCAATCAGTCCTTACCCTTTCCTGGAGCTCTCAGTCTAACATATGCAAACAACTCTGTCCAAACAAAGGATGGAGAGACTAAATTGGAGTTAATCTTAGAGGGAAGGCATTGATATTAAAGGAGGATTGGGAAAGGCTTCTTGCCGAAGATGAGATTTTAGTTGGGATTTGAAACCAGGAAACAGATGAGGAGAGGGTATTTCACTGAATCGTAGTGTATGTAAGAAGAGAGTCAAGTATAAAAAAACTGGAAAGGCAGGAAGAAGACTGGTAATAAGGTTACTTAGCATAGTGTCTAGAACATAGTAGGTGCTTAATAAATGCTAATTGACTGACTGACAAATTTATCCAGAGAATTTTTTATTTGAACCTGGAGGTAATGGGGAGCCCATGGAGTTTTTAATAGGGAATGAGATGTTGAGTAGCTTGTCTAAGATCACAGCTAGTAATTGGCAAACCTGGGATTTTGAACCTATGCCCTCTTACTCCAAAACTGATCTTCTTTCCAAGTGACACTATGCCATGGCAAAATAACTTGCTCATGGTCACAAAATTTAGTTAGTGATTAAAGTCAGGATTTGAATACAGTTGTCCCCTGATTTCTTTTTCTAACATAAATGAAGTAGGAGGTGCCTTCACTTCCCTCATCCCAGTATCTTTGATTCATGTTGGTCTCCCTAGTCCCTTCCAGCTCTGATACTCTGATTCTGTCTGTGTTGGTTCTGGCCGCCTAGAAGTGTTTGTGCTTATGATTGTCCCGTCTCCTTAGTGTATGTTTTTTCCCAACATGCTTTGTTCTTTAGGAAGCTGCCTAATGAGTTGAGCCCCGTAGGGTTGAAGTCAGGGTACTTATTCTCCCTATTTCTGGATGTGTAACCTAGACAAGTCATGGAACTTCTCTTTGTGGTTTCTTTCTCACTTTTAAGGATTAATGGCCTTTAGAGGTATTGCACCTGAGATGCAGTGGTGTTGGAATGGACAGACTGAGGGGAGGGTGAGGACAGGTTCTGGGTATTTTATTATGTCATCCTTGGCAGTTTAAAAAAAAAAAAGCATGTGAAATTCACCTGCCCCGTGGCCCACCCTCTGGACCTGAACAAGTGCTGTGTCAGGGTGGTGGAAGGTCAGGGCAGAAATTCCTTGCATTGCCTGATGTCTCAACTCTGATGATACACTCATGACTCCTTGTTGCATCTGGTTCAACAATTAATGTAACAGCTGACATAAGAACCTCAGTTTGAATTTGTAATTTATGAGACTGTGGTCAGAATACTTCCCTGTTTATTTGTGTGGCAGCTTTATGCCAGCCTGGGACTGAAAAAGAAAATGGTGCTGCCTTCAATTGTCCTTCCTTTAAGTGCCATGTAAATGCTTGCTAGCTAGGTTGTAGGGAATAAAGCTCAGCAGGGAGGCTAGATAGGAGCTGTATTCTTAGAGGTAATTTCTGGGCCAGTGAAGCAACAGCCTTTCTCTTTGTTGCCACAAACTACTTGTTGCTTGTGGATCAGGCTTCTACTGTTGCTTCTAGAAACCTTCCCCCGCAGTCTGTGGCAGTGAGGCTTAAGTGGAATAGTAAGGTCTTGGTTGGACTTCTCAGTTCAGAGTGGGATCTTGGGGTGGGTTGCCTGTGGTTGAGCTGAGTGTGGAGAGGGGAAGGGCTATTGTGTTATAAATGGGAAATGTTATTGTTGTCATTATCATGTTGGTTCCAGGCAACCCTGAAAGTAGTGGGTGAAAAGAACTGCACTTTAGTAGGGAAGTTGGGAGGCCATTTTCAGTTTCCTTTCTCTGCCCTCAAATCATCCCTGCTAGAGGCCAAGAAATCCTTAAATCTTTGCCTCAGGTCATAGTTATCACAGGAAAGAGTTAAGACTAGGCCCTCTAAAAGTAATGTGCTTCTGCACAGTACTGTGCTAGAAATTGGATGAGATACAAAGATTATTCAATATAGTCCTTGCCCTAATGGAGGGTAGAAAGTATGTTGATATAGGTAACACAGATTAGAACATAGTCATTCATAAAAGCAGTGCACCTTGAAGTTGTGTATCATTCATTTCAGCCTCATAACCACCCTCTAAGGTAGAGAGTGAAGGTTCTCCCATTTTACAAATGAGGAAACAGACTTGGAGAAGTTGGTGACTTGCCCATAATCACATGGCTATTAAGTTTTGATTGTGAGGTTCAAACCCAAGTCTTTGGGCAGTCAAATCCATTCAGCTTCCTCCATATGTAACAAATGTGAATTCCCTACATCTTTGAACTGTGTACTATAGGAATTGTTATCCCCATTTTACAGATGGGTAAACTGGAGTACCTAGAGGTTTTGGCAGGGTTGGAAGCCAGATTTCTCTTGATTCCAAGACTAGCTCCAGTTCTTAGCTGGCAGTTACTGAGGTGGTGGGAAATAGATGGTCAGTATTCAGGTTAGAGCATTTTGGCTACATTAGCTGACTATATGCTTGAGTACAACTGAAGGTGGCCACCAAGGTTTCAAGGGCCCAGGAACTACCTATGATCAGAATCATAAAGATAAGATAAGTTTTAGTAGAAGGGACATTCAAAATCATCTATGAGGACACTGAGGCTAAGAGAAAGGAAATGACTTGAGTTTCTGTCACTCAGGTAGTGACAGAGGCCAGGATTTAAACCTAGTTCTTCTGAATCCTAATTCAATGGTTTTTAATTACATTCTTAATGATGCATGAGGTGGAGAATTACAGTGTTGGGAAGTACGGTGTCTGATGAGCTCATTGGGTAGGACTGGGAGTGGGAAAATCCCTAGTGATCCTATGGCTGAAAGCATGCCTAAGGGTGTGGTGCTTATGCTAAATAGGAAGAGTCTAGCTGCCTACTGAATTGGTCCCTAGAATGAGTGAGTACTGGAGAAGGCAGGGAGAAGGGGTGTTGGCTTTGGTTGTGACCCTTGGTAGTTTCTGGATGATGGTAGAGTAGTTAGATGTCAAAGAAGATAGCTCTGTGCTTCTGGTAACCTGTTGCCTAGCCCCAAGAACTACATGGTTTTATTGATACCACACTTTTAGGTTGCTTTGGCCATTGGGTAGTCTGGCTATGAACTACTGTCCTTGTTGAGAGGAACTCATGGGACAAACATAGGGAAGTTTTAACTGCTGGAGATTGAGTTCTGAGGGAGCTTCCCACATCACAGGCTTCATCTTACCCTTTGCTTGTTTATCTCTTTTATTGCAGATCTTCTCCGCCATGGCCCGACGCACCCGCAGCAGCCGGGCCTGGCATTTTGTTCTGAGTGGGGCCCGCCGGGAGGCAGATGCCCGAGCTATGGCTTTGGCCTCTGGCACCACCAACTGGGGCTATGATTCCGATGGACAGGTGGGTCTCTGCTTCCTTCACGGGAAGAGTTATTAGCAGAGTATTTTTAGTTCTGGCTGGAGCATGTTCTGAAGAAGGTGTCTAAGGAAATCAGCTTCAGGCTTAGCTCTCTACATGAAGGGGTGCCTAAGAGGAGAGCACAGGACCAAATTCTCTTATCTATCAGATATTAATTATTCTACATCAGGGGTTGGCAAAAGCTGGCCTAGGTAAAGTGTTTTCTATTTTAAACTGCAAAAACTTTCTTAGCTCCAAAATACAAAAAGAGCAAGCTAGATCTGACCCTGCTGGTCAGTCCTTGTTAAGCAGCTCAAGATGCTGTTTCAGAGAGGAAATGCAAGTGCTATTTTTCTCTTCTTTGGTAGGGAAAAAGAGTGAGGAGTGGGAGAGAGCCCTGGATCTGTAATCAAAAGTCTTGCCTTTTTGGTTTGGTGTTTCACCTAGAACCCTTGATTTCTGTAATAGCATGTTTTATCTGGGTAGAATGCTCAGAGAGGGTGGCATTCACTGTATTGGGTATGTCTACAGTGCTTGCTGCCTGGTATGTTCCTACCATAGTGGTCTGAGGACCACCTCTGTAGGCCTAAAAGATATACCTAGGACTTCTGAGGGCAGGGAGAAGTAAGTCCATGAGATTCTAGAGGGGTGGGAGGAAAGGAGTGTTTGGGGTATGGGAGAGGTAGTTTGTAGGCAGTAGGAGAGAAAAAGAAGGGCAAACTGAATTTTCCCACTAGAGATATTATAGTTGAGCTATTATGTTGGGTTTATATCGAAATAGCAAAGTGTTCTCCATTCTGTTCTATGAAGTTGTTGAATGGAGTTTATTAAGACCCTTAGCTGATCATGAGTCTACAGTGCTGCAACCTGATGGACCAGCTACATTTTTGAGTATTGTGTTTAGGTCCCTAGGCCATTGTCCTTGTTCTCATGTTATTGGTGAGAACCTGGCCAGAGTTCTGTGCCCAATTTTAGGGCTTGAAGAGAAGGGAAAACCCAGTTTGTGATAGGTAAAATGTAACTGAAGCAAAGAATGGAAAAGAGTTGCTTTCTTCACCTGAGATAATGTGGACGGAACAGATAGAACTGGAATTATGGGGTGGGGAAGCTGATTGGTCTCTGAGAATGGTGGCCACTGGTTAGGGGAAACATCAAGTCTAATATGACTGGTACTGGAGGTGCTGGAAGCTTGTACAACTTTGAGGTATTGTAAAAGGACTGGTTAGGATAGCAATGAATGTTCTTTTGTGTTGTTGAGGTGGTGGACAAGACCACATCAGTCTGAAGCCTCTCCATAACCTTATGTTTCTATTTCTGAATCATAGCAACAGTGAATCCAAATAGATTTTATTCCTCAAGTTCTGTTTCCTTCCAATTCTTTAAAAAAAATTTTTTCGTGTTGATGTCTTTACATTGTTACCATTTCTGGGGATAGTGGGGAGAATAAGACACCCTCACACCAGACAGATTACATGCTAACTGCATCTCACTATGTAAGCAGAAAGGAAGAATGTTTACCTGTTCTTTGAGATTTCCATTAGTTTTCCAATTGCTTTGTGTTTGACTTCCTTATAGTGACCTTTATTTTATGTTGTTGTAGTCACTGTATTATTGTTCTTTTGTTTCTGTTTATTTTGTCCATCATGTGGCCTGGCCTACATTCCTGTACCACCTCTACCTTACATTGGCTAATGGCCTTGAGAATTCACTCCTGTATGTTTCATCATAGGAAATGAGACTCATCATCTAGTGTTGCATCAGGGGAGTGTGGGTTATGTTTGTTGACAGTGTGGCTTAGAAATTTATGATGTTTGTTGCATGCTGTTTTTGCCTGTCATCTAATGGTCTGCATCCCTTTCGTGCCCTGCCTGTAGGAGCTGATGCAAAACACATCCTTCCCTTACCTTCTCTCTTGGAGAATCTGCAAGAACCTAGGCTGAATATGTTCATTCAGGACCTAACCCTTCTCCTTGGCACTCGGCCCTTGTGGGGATCTTGATAAGTTGCAGATTAGCACTTGATTTTACTAGGGCATTAGAATTGGGCTGGGTGGCTGTGAAAATGCCTCTCTCCAGGCTCCAAATTAAGGTATATTAGAAACTCCTAGACAAGAGTTCCACTTAAACAGGTGGCAGCCTTCCTTGAGAATGCTCAGTGTTGGTTCTGAAGGCCATAGCTTACGGGGTCTTTTAAGTATCTCTAACTTCTCTCCAGGGAGGGAAGTTAAATTTCTCTAATTTTTATTTCAGTGAGCCATCCCCCTGTAGCAGGATGTTTTAAAAAACCAAAACCAAAACCACAGTTCGTTCAGCAAAACTAACCAACACATCAGGTTGAGTCTTGACAGCATATATTGTGTTCCATACATATAGCCCCCATCTCTACAAAGAAAGGATTGAGGGCTTTGCCCTCATGTCCTAAACAACAGTCAAGAACAGAAATCCTTGAAAAAACAGTGGACCTCTGGCTTCTGGGAAGGGGGTAGGTCTGTATATCTTTGAGGCTCATTTTGGTCCCACTTGTACCTGGGTGTTGGGGTGTGGTGGTGTAAACAAAGAATGCCAAAATGAGTGCAGCTGGGTAAGAAATGAGATATCTGAAGCACCTTACAACTGTTATCTTACTTGATCCTAACCATACCCCTGGGAGGTTAGATACTATTATAATTTCTATTTTACAGTTGAGGAAACTGAGGCAGATAGGTTAAATGACTTGCCCAGCCTCCCACAGTTTGTAAATGTTTCTGAATTCAGGGCTTCTTGACTGCAGGTCCAGGGTTCTGTCCACTGTACCACCTAGTGCCTTCCCCCTAAGATTAGCTCCATTTTATCTTGGAGCTCTTATATTCATAATTGTTTGCAATTATGCATATTGTCTGTCCTATTAGAATATTAACTCTCATCTTTGTATCTCCAATTCCTGGCACAGAATAGGCACTTTATAAATGCTTGTTGACTTGCAACTTAAGCCCTTTGCTCTTAGTTCTGCCCTCAGGGCTCAGAAAGAACAAGCCAAATCCCTCTTTCTTTCACATACCAGCCTTTTGAAATACAGTCATCATTTCTCTACTAAGTTTTTATGTCCTGGCTAGGCATCCGTAGTTCCTCTAACCACGCTTCATATGATTTGATCTTGAGACACCTTTGGGTGTGTAATGTTACATATGCTGTCAGATACAATTGTATTTGATGGACTTGGTTTTTTGTCTCTTAAACTTTTTGTTAGAAGGAATGACAAAAAAGTGTGTAAGTTCTGAGTGGGGAGTGTCAAGATATATTGGGAAATGTGGTATAAAAACAAGAGGCATCCATAAAGAAAAAATTTTAAAAACCAAAAAATCCCAACTGTGGTGCAGACATCAGTTACAGTTTTGTCTGTATCAGGGTACAGAAGAATCTTGGCTCCTTGTTCACTAGCTATGTGACCAACCTGTGTACAAGTCACACACAATCTTTCTGAGCCTTAGTTTCCCCATCTTTAAGGTGGGGACAATCCCTTTTTTTTTAGTGGGGAAGATAATACTTCACTACTGTCTGGTAGGATTGATATGAAAGTGCTTTAAAAAACACTGCGGTGCTTTGTAAACATGAGGTATAATTATGGGAAGAAAACTATTGGGAGACGTTTGAATAAAACATTTGAGCGCATTTTTCTGAAGCCACATTTGGGGGAAGGGGTGAATTTTGCATTAAATTTACTTCTTGATAAGCAGCTTCTTCCTCATCTGTAACATAGGGGTCAGGATGGACTTGATGTCCTCTTCTGACTCTAGGTCTGTAATCAATCCTGAGACAAGTATATTCGCTGAATCTTAGATTGTCCCTTCCTCTATAGGGCCTAGATAACTTGATGCTCACTGGAAGTTTTCAGGTCTGATGGGCAAAGAAGGCATTCTTTATTTCCAGCATTGATGGCCAACACACTTCTTGACCCTCGCATTGATTTGGGCTGTTGGAGTGCTTCTGTCTGTTCTCGGTCTGTTTTATTATAACCTCAGTTGGAACCTTTCCCAAAGCAAGTCCAGAGCCACATGGTGTCTGGAACTTTTCCACTTTTCTCTGGGTGTGACAGCTCTGTTGTCAGGGCTGCTCTTCAAAGTCTGCAGCCTTTTCCCCTTTTCTGTGGCAGGTGGTCAAGTGCCAAGGTTAGGTGACAGATCTCATAAGGCATCTGAGTGATGGGGCCATTAGAATTCCAAGGGCTAAGGTAAGAATAGAGATTCCTAAAGAACAGGGATTCATGTTGGGGAATATTAGGTAGGTGGGTGGATGGGGGACAAGTAAATTTTGTCTGAGAGGAGGTGTTACTCCCCTGTAGCCTTTGTTTTCATAGACTTTCAGTATTTCAAAATTTTGAATCTCCACTGGTGCAGACTGTAGTACCACCTATACTGTGGCTTTATGAATTGATTAAAAACATTTATCACTTTGTACCCTTAATCCTGAAGATGAGCCTTTCCACACTTAGCTAGGTTGGTCTGCAAAGGATAGCTCTACTTGGTAGGATATGAGTGTTCTGCTGGGATAGGTTTCAGTGGCTCAGAGTTACCTTTATTTCATGAAAAGGCATTGTAGAAGATGTCTTGCATATAATAAGTGCTCTAATAAATGTCTGGATCAAGACGTGTGAGACCTTCTTAGGAACACTCCCATCATCAGACCCCTGTGATTGGTCCAGATCATTTCCAGACTTGATGACTTTTCTGACTGTTGATACTTTTACCCTGCCATTGTGTTCTACATGTTCTGTATTCCTGGTGTTCACCATTTGTGGCTAGTGGCTCAGTTGGCACTGTTTTCCTGTCTTTCTCCTCGGTACACCCCCTATATTCCTTTCTCATAACCATTCCTTTAGTGGTAAGGTTATAGGATGTGGAGTTTGAAGGGACTGTAGAGATCTAGATGAACAATCTCTTCTTATAAAAGAGAAAACCAAGACTTAGACCTTAAGTGGCACAAGTCGTGTGTAGCAGAAGTGCTCTTTTAGTGGATTATTTGATTTCAACTCTGTTGAAGAGTTGTGGCTTCCCTCCAGCATCTCAGCCAACTGCCTAGTTATAAATGAATTTTCCTTGCATTAAAATTTTTGTTTATATTTTTTGTTTTTACAACACTTAGCTTTTCCCTTGTAACTCTGCTCACTTAGAGAACTTTATCCTGATCTCTAATGTAGGGACTTCGATTGGGCGACCATGTTGTTCATGAAAATAATTGGTAGGGAGGAAGAAGTTGACAGTGTGGCTGGTACTGTATAGTCCACTGGCTTTGCCCACTCAGAGGACTGCTCACTTGCATTTCCCTTGTCACTGAAGCATAAGCAGGTAGTATTTCTCATTTTTGATGAGTCATGAAATTGACTCCTAGGATTTGCAGCCATGGAATTTTTGGTCATCAGACACCCCTGATTCTGCAACCACTGATAATAATACACTTGTGACAAGAGGAACCCTCAGCAATTTCCAGAATAGGCAGGTGGCTTGTGCTATGTGTAATGATTAATCAATAAATATTGCCTGAAATCCCCTATAGCATCTCAGTAATAACTACTATGTTTCTGAATATACAGGAACTATCTATGGATTGTGACAAAGCCCTAGAGCAGGGTTCTGACTTCCTGAGTACCTTCAGTCACAGGGCAGTTCCTTTATTAAGCTAGTGCTTATCTACCTTGCATTCACCCCAGTCAAATTTGGTACTGTAAAGTGAAGGCAGTGAATGGAATGAAAGCTGGAAGTTGCTCGGTTTGGAGGTTAGTCCAGCAGCTTAGAATCTGTATGAAAGTGTAAGGTCAGAGAGCTTGTTTATTAATGTTTATGATCTAATAGTTCACCTTTTCAGGTAAGCCCATAAGAGGTGGGCTTTTCAGGTAGGGCAGGCCACACAGGGAATCTTTATATACCAAAAAGTGTAAGCACTCATATGTATGTGCTACACAAAGAGGGGAGAGTGAAGCTTTTTCCATGTGGTGTGTGTACCTGTGTGGGACTGGCCTGTACCAGGTGCCCCAAGTTTCTTCTCCAGAAGGAGAGGAAGGAAGTACAGTGTTCTTTGCTCCAGTAGTGATGGTAACATGTTCCCAAAGCTGCCTCCTCTACTGCAAAGACGTCTTAACTAGTTAGAAGGGTGGGGAGGGATCCTGGTAATGGCTTTGTTGTCTTTTGTGCTCCTTTTCTCATACTTTGCCACCTTCATGCCATCACTGTGCCTGAATTTTGGACAAGTTAATGACCTGACTCTACCCTTGTCTTTTTGTTTGACAGCACAGTGACTCAGACTCAGAAGCAGAATTCCCCTCCCTGCCACCATCCATCCCGAGTGCTGTGCCTGTAACTGGGGAATCCTACTGCGACTGTGAGAGCCAAAGCGAAACTCCGTACTGTGCCAGCCTCCACACCAGCCATCGAAGCAGGGACTGCCAGTGTGGCGAGGAAGATGACTGTAAGGAGCCTCCGTGATTCCTGTGGGGATGGTTGATGGCTAAAGCTCATTAGCTGTTACCCATAATTTTCTTGGGCCTATTGGTTGTTTCTAAGGGCTCCAGAGCCAGGAGGCGCCTGAACTCAGGTGGTAGTTAGCTTAGTATTGCTGGCACTTGGCATCTAGGCCAATGGGGATCATTTGGGAATTAGCTGGTTTTGTAGAAGCCTCTTCCACTTGTCTTTTTTCCCCAGTATTGGACAGCCCTAGGAAGATGCTCAGGGGTGGGATAGGGATGGGGATAGTTGGCGTTATCAAATGTAATTATAACAACTGCCTCTTTTAGAAGGAGAGCAGAGTGGTCAAGTTCAGCCTACCCTTTTATAAGGAGCAGGGAACACATACACTTGGAGTTCAGTACCCAACACAGAACATAGAACTGAGGTTAAAAATTTACAGGGAATGTTTATGGTCATCTAGTTTGTCCATGGGCCTGGGTTTGCTTTTGTTTGCCTTGTTTTTCTGGATTGAGACTAAATCTTAAATGAAGGGGAGCTGTGAGGACACATCAGTAGCATAACAGGACACAATTCTTTACTGGACCAGAATTTGCTGTGGCTGGGCTAGGCCAAGCAAGCACTCGGCCGGGGGCGGGGGGTGGGGGGGGTGTGTTCTGCATTGGGCCTTGGGAGCAGTTCTCATTCCTCTGACGTCAGCGTGAGCCTGCTCTTGCTTGTTTTATTGGGCCTCCTCCTTGCCCTGTTAGCATCAGTCTCACTAGCTGATTGTGTCAGTAATGACGGAAATGTCAGGTTTGGAGTTGGGTGTGTTGTGGGGTTGGCTTCCTTTTGCCTGTCCCAAATTACAGCCTCTTCCTCCTTCAATACAGATTTTGACTGGGTATGGGATGATCTGAACAAATCGACAGCCACTCTGCTAAGCTGTGACAACCGCAAAGTCAATTTTCACATGGAGTATAGCTGTGGCACAGCAGCCATACGAGGGAACAAGGAGCTATGTGAAGGCCAGCATTTTTGGGAGATTAAGATGACTTCTCCAGTCTATGGCACTGATATGGTATATTTAGGGGCATCCAGGGGGACACTGTTCTAGAACAAGGTTACTAGCCACAGACCACCTCTCACGGCTTAGTGCTATTCCTTCCCTTCTCTCTCCCCCCCCCCCCCCATTATTGGTAGATGGTTGGCATTGGGACATCAGATGTAAATCTGGACAAGTACCGCCATACATTCTGCAGCTTGCTGGGCAAGGATGAAGACAGTTGGGGCCTCTCCTACACAGGTGAGCATGGGAGGACTGATGAGAATACAAAGAAAAAGCTGCTTGTTGCTGTGGCTCAGGGAGGGGAAAACTTCTGGCTGCTGCTTATTTTACAAGACTGATTGGGGTTGGAGGTTTTATGGCTATAGGTGACCGAAATCTCAGGGTAGGTAGCCTGGGGTGGGGGTGGGGAGAAAGGAGTCAGATTGTAGGCAAGATTATGCTGTCTCCTTCTAGCATTCAACAGGCAGGGCTAGAAAAAGTGGATTATATTAGAAGTGGAGCCTGTCTTACACTAAACTACAAGATCCACCAAATCTAGTTTTCCCTGCTTTGGGGCTGCTGTTTCAGGACTTCTCCATCACAAGGGTGACAAGATGAGCTTCTCATCACGGTTTGGCCAGGGCTCCATCATCGGGGTTCACCTAGACACTTGGCATGGCACACTGACCTTCTTCAAAAACAGGAAATGCATAGGTAAGGGTGGGAGCTAAAGGCCCAAGTTACAAAATAGAATGTCTTTAACGAGAGTAAGTAGCTATATGAGGATGGCCTGAAGGCACCTGTTGAGAATAAGCTGTTGGCTCTGGAGCCCTTAGAAAGGGCATGGCCAACTCGAGTGATCAGAGGAATCTGGAATCCTTGCATCTGTACTCAGTTTTGGTAGTAAAAAGACCGGCCCAGGGAAGGAAAGGGGTTAGGGTTAGGGTTTCTGAGTCACTCTCTGATCTTCAGTCTCTACTCCCTCAAGATGCTTGGATCCTGGTCTGTTTCACCATGGGCTATGTAGATTAGGCCTGGTTACCCTTGAGTTTGTTCCACCCACATAGACGCTAGAGGTCAGCGGCTCCCCTGACACCTCCATTCACATCGTGTCTCCTGCCAGGAGTTGCTGCCACCAAACTGCAGAACAAGAAATTCTACCCCATGGTTTGCTCCACTGCCGCTAAGAGCAGCATGAAGGTGATCCGATCTTGTGCCAGCCTCACTTCCCTGCAGTATCTGTGTTGCTACCGCCTGCGCCAACTGCTGCCTGACTCTGGGGACACACTGGAAGGATTGCCTCTGCCCCCTGGCCTCAAGCAGGTGCTGCACAACAAACTGGGCTGGGTCCTGAGCATGAACTGTAACCCCCTGCCGTCACCATCACCCAAGGTGGCAGCGTGCTCGGGGAGCCCAGAGGCCAAGCCGTGTCAAAGGAAGAGGTGTCGACGGACTTAACTTATTTTCCAATGAAAACTGCCTTGTTGGGCTTGGGGTGGCTTCTCTTTCTTTTCCCTTTCCTCCACACACTTTTGGGACAAGAGGGAAGGTTGGGAGGGGAGGTTGCCCATCCCCGTCTTCGGGGCCAGCTCTGCTGGTTGGAATCTGCCAAGATACTCCCCTCATTCAGGAACTAGTTTAGTTCACGGCACCTGCTCCTCACCTGGACTGGAAGACTGTGCCATGAACCTGTCAGCTCAGAAAGGGATGATCACAGCAAGGCTCCCTGAGCCCTTATTCTGGACTTAGCCCAGGGGTCATTCCGGGTCCTCTTTAGAGTGGTGGTGATTGCAGTGCTACTGCCTCCCTCTGGGGGCAGTGTGTGATCACTCCTGCCTCAGGGAGGGGAGGGTAATGCTGCAGCCTAGCCTCAGCCTTTCTCAAATGTGCCGCTAAAAGGGGTGAGGAGAAAAGCCTGGCTATTATTAAGATGTGTGTCTGTGTTCCCCCTCCACCCCTTGGGGCTTCAAATCTAGGATCTAGAATTTTTTTTTAAAAAACCTGCTTTGCATGTTGTGTCAGCTTCTGCTCCTGTATCAGAGACTGTATCAAATCACTGTAATAAAGTTAAAATAGTTTATATTGAATTATAGATGCTACAAAAGTAAATGGGCCCATGATTAGGCCCATGGTTGTGTGATGTTTAAGGGCTAAGGGGTTATCAAAGCTTCAGTCTACCCTGATTTTAAAAGTACTCCCTTTACCTTGTGATGCACTTGGGTAGGGAATTAGACCCATTTTACTGATAAGAAAACTGAAGCTTGAAGGAAGTGATTTTTAGTGGCAGAACCAAAACCAGAATTATGGCCTTGTGCCTCTGGAGAGCTAAGGGTCCTTCAGTGAACTGCAAAGGACACAGTAATCTTGCTAAGATCACATGAATTACCAGAGTCTCTAATTTTGCTTATTAAAATTGTAGGTGCATCCTATCCAGGCTGGAAATTGTAAAATTTTAAGAGTTCTAACATCTTCAGGGAACTCTTCATTTAAAACAAAAAATCTTGGCACAGCAGAGTGGCCACCAGGTGTTGTCAGGCTTAGCTGTCACGTTACTCATCTAACTCTCCCACTAATAAACAGCCTTGTTCAGCTTTGCTGATACTTCCCACTTCATTCCTTAATTACATCCCTTGCTTTGATGCCCCTTTCATGTTTCTTCCCATCCCCAGTTTCTGCACTGGACACCGTTACCCTCGCTTCCCATGGCTTTGTTCTGACTGGCACCTTTACATCTTCACCTTAATGGTGAGCAGTTAAGGCACCAAGAAAAAGCCAGTTTCGGTGCTAAGGCTCCCTAAAAGCTGGGAGATGAGGAGGGATTTTTACCTATGTGGGTCTTGCCACTTCTTATGGTTACCACTAGGAATATGGCATGCCAGCCCTGGTCTTTGAGGCTGCTGCTGCTGTCTCTCCTTTACTGCGCCCTCCACCAAAGTCCTGAACCATATAAAGTTCTCCCCCTTCATTTGGGTCTACTGTTATGTTCAGCTTTAGACCCAAAAAGGGTAGGAGGGGATCTGTAGCTCTCCCCCTCAACCCTATAGTTCAGTGCTCAAATCCAGTAAAGGTCAGGATTAATTAGTGTTAAGAGGTAGACCCAACAGGAAAGGGTGGGGATGACTCTTCAGACCTGAATCAGATCATCTTTCTTCACAGCATTGTCACTGAGCAGACAGGTGTTCCTGCTCTGTGGTACAAAGTACATATGCCTGAAGTGGCCCAGAGACCACGTACAAGTTAGTAATGCCCACACCCCCTTCCCTCCCCTTATCGGGTAACCTGACACCAGCTTTTTAACTCCTCCTGCCTGGGAGGGGGGTGGTGGTGTCATCTTTCACCTTCCCTTGAGAACTCAATCCCCCAGGGGAAAGCGCAGAACAAAGAGTTTATTTTTTATGTTCCTACTCCTACGGTTGAAGGTTATATCTGGAGAAGGTATGATGGAGGTCATTTATTTTTTTACAGATAAGACCAGAGCCCTGAGGTCTTCAGCACTCATTGTATAGATGAGACTATACATGGGGAAAAGAAGTTTATTTACTAATGAAATCAGGGCTGGAAATGAGAATACCCAAAGTTCTGATCTACTGTATACTACTACAACTGTTAATCTGAAGGGATAGCAATGATCTCCCCTGGACCCACCCTGGGCAGGCATTGAGGCACTTGCTTGTGTGGCCTTTGTTAATACTGGCTTGGCTCCTGTTTGAGGGCACCAGCAGCACAGTTCTTCTGTAGTTGCAGTAGCACCAAGGCTGTGGAGGAGGAAAGGAAAATACTGGGACAAAAAGTTCAGGCTGAGGAGGGGGCAGGGCCCTACCAACCCAGCACCCCTTAGAAAGCACTTTAATAACATAATCACAGACTTGAAGCAACTGCAGATAGGACAATTTGATCCCTTGTAGGTGATGTTCATTGTTCCCATTATTAGAGGATGTACCCTCCCTGCCCAGGACTCAAGGCCATCCCTCTGAGAAAAAGCCTCTCTCGAGGCTGCTTAGGGCCAGAAATCAACCTCCTTGGCCTTTGGTAGCCAGGTCTTCACCTGTTCCACCTCCTTTTGGGTCACAGCCACCTTTGAGCTGGACTCTTGAACACCTCCTGGACACCAGACTGGGAGCAAAAACTATTTGTCTTTCTGGCTCGTCCATTTTTCCTCTCCCCATCCACCCTTCTGAGAAAACTGCTGTTGCTACCCCTGGTGTAGAATCCTGTGTGGCCTGTGGATAGTCTGGAGTGGCTAAGACTTGAGGGAATCTAATGAAAGTCTCCCACCTCTCTAAGCATACTGCTAAATTACTGCTTTCCTCTGCGCCCCCTTAGCCTCTGGAACTGAGCAAAGCAAGAACTACTACTGATAAATGTGGTAGTGAGTCTGGCCAGCAGTATTCTCAGGTACAATCCAAGGAACAGAGCAAGCAGTGGAATGACCCTGCAACCAAAAGAAACTAGCTAGTAGGTGGTAGAACCCTCTGAAGTGAGGAAGGACAATAAGAAAACTCGGGTCTTGTTTATGTCAAGTCTAATTTTTTCTTGAAAATATTTGCCTTCAATACAGTCAATAGTGTGTATCAATGACCTTGACAACTCTTCTTTCTTGCTGATAAACGTTAGTTTAGTCATTTGTGGCCACGTATAGACCAGTTGCCAAAAATGAGAGACCCTGTGTTGAAGCCTCCAGCCCAAACGACCTAACCACCCACCTTCTTCCCCTTTACCTCCAAGTTCCTGGAGTACGCTACCAACAATCTCTGTACTCCAGCCTGACATTCAGGGCCCTTTCCAGTTTGATGGTCACTCTCCAGAGGCTGCCTTTACTGCTGAAATTGTAACCCAGGCCCATCCTGGATGCCTTTTCTCCAGGCTCACCTGTGCCTTCATTCTTTCTAAAGGGACACCAGTTTTGTTTTGTTTTTCCCCCAAGGAGGATTATTCAGTGAAAAGGAAATTCCCAAGTAGGGGAGGGTGAGTGGTTAAAAGCCACCAGTTTATAGCTGGAAGAGATAGACATCAGCTAGTCCGGGGATAGGGAACTGCAGCCTTAAGGCCACATGTGGCCTTCTAAATCCTTAGGTTCAGTCTTATGACTGAATCCAAATCTGGATTTGTTCTGCAAAATTTGGATTCGGTCAAAATGCCATACTTAAGGATTTAGAAGGCCACAGGTTCCCCACCCCTGAATCCCTTTTTTTTTTTTCAGTCTGACCAGAAAAACTAAATAGCCTCTGATTCGGAGGGTGACTTCTCCCCAGCCCAGGTTTAGATGTATGTGTATGGCGATAGGCCTTGAGCCTAGCACCTGTGCCATTGAGATTGAGGCCTTTGAGAAACTCTAGTTCCCGACTAGAGTCAGAAAAGACTCCAGAATTGCATGGCAGTACTGATAGAACTAGAACCTACCTGTGACGTTCATGGTAGAAACAGGACTATTGCTGAGGGAGGAGACAGTGCATTTCCTGCCTTGGATTCTGAGGTATAGGAAGAGCACTGCTGTGGCAGGTGGCTGGCACTGATCTCTTCCAGCTGAGACTTCGGACTCATGGCTGGGGCTCAATGACATACTCACATTTTAGGGACCTCAAAGCCCCTATTAAGACATCGGAGCCAGCATCTTCTAGGATAACTGGGGGTTGGGAGAAACAAGGAGAAAACACTTTTGAGTTGCCCAGAACCTCCAGCGGATACAGCAGCCGCTTGTAATTCAGTTGGGTAGTCACTCTGATTTACCCTCCTCCCACTACCCTTGCTGACAAGGGGCCTGATGGAAGAAGTGAGGAGAAGGTGGAGAAGGACTCCTGTCTATGACAAGGTTTCCCAGCCACCAGTCCCAGCTCTGGTACATAACATTCTCACCATTCTGTGGAAATTTTTACTTTTAATTAAAGGTTATTAATGTGGAAAACAGACCCTTCTTGCATCCTGTTTCTTCTTATTTGAAGGTTCAAGAATTGCAGTCAGTATAGAATTTTATGAATAGAATGTTTTAGAGCCCACAGTATAAGCCAGAAGAATACTGACCTAAAATAGAGCTACAGAGATGCAAATGACCTTTACAATGGCAGGGGGGCACAATGACAAGGACACCAGATCATCTTCCCTAATGGTCTATCAAATTCTCCAAGGTGGTGTTCTAAACCTCATCTTTCCTCAAGCCTTCCACACCATCCCTCTCCCATCTCTCTCTCATCCCTATTTGTAGAGGACTTGGACCCAGACTCTGACAAAACAGAGCCTTCTGTTACCATGAGCTCTTGCCTTTCCCCTACTCGACATTTCTAAGTCCCTCTATCCTTTCCTCCTTTACTTATACTACAGGTTCTAAAACATTGATTCTATATTGATGAAGTGACCTCCATCACGACTGTTTTCCTGGGCAGATTACTATGCCGTCTTTGATCTCTGCCTATCCAGGATCCTTAACTGCTGCCTGTGAACTTGCCCAGGTCTCTCCCATCCTTTTAAAAAACCTCAGTTAATTCTTCAAGCTATCATCCCATCTCCTTGCCTTTTAGAGCCAAACTCCTAAAAAAGGCTGCATATATGCCTATACTTTTTGCTTCACTCAACCCCTTTCAATTGGGCTTCTGACTTCACCATTCAAGTGAAACTGCTGTTTCTTAACATATTTTACCTCCCAAATCTAATGTCCTTTATTGGTCTTCATCCTTTCTGCAGCATCCGACACTACTGACTACTACAGCATCCTATGTATCCTTATACCTGAGTTTTAGTGATGCTGCTTTTCTCCTCTCAGGCCATTCCTTTTCAATCTCCTTTGCTGGGTCATCATCTATTTCCTTCCCCCTTGTAGGCTTTGTCTTATACTTTTTTCCCATAAATTCAATTACCTCTACGAAGAGGATTCCTAGATCTGTATTTTGTCTCTTGAGCTCTAGAACTGCCTCTGGACATTTCTACCTGAATGTCTTACAGGCATTTCAAATTCAACATGTCCACAACAGAACCCATTTATAGTTTTCCTCCAAATCCACCCCTCTTCCAAATTTCTCTATTTTGATTGAGGGTGCTACCCATCTTTCAGTCTACCTCAGAATCATCCACAATGTGTCCTCTCTTCTCACACCCCCAGCCCCACCCCATTCAGTCTATTGTCAAGGCTTGTTTATTCTATTTCCACAACTCTTGCATTGGTTTTTTCTCCTCTCTCACATTGCCACCAACCTGAGTCCTTTGTCACGTCTAGGCTAGACTATTATAGTAAATATATTCCTAATTGGTCTCCCTTCCTCTAGTGACTTTTATTTCCAATCTAACATTCACAACTGCCAAAATGATATTCCTAGAAGCACAGGTCTAAAATGTTCCAAAAGCTCCAGTAAAAACTCCCTCTCACTTCTAAGATAAAAAACACTCCAATCTGGCTCCAGCTCACCATTCCAGCCTTGATACACGTTATCGCCCTTCCTGAACTCTCTCCAGTCTGGTCAAACTGGCCTCCAAGCCCTTCCTCACAGATGACACTGCACATGTGGGCCTTTACTCCATGCCTGGAACAGAATTCCCGAGCTGCCTTCAAGGTTCAGCTCAAGAACCACCTCTTTCAACGTGGCTCTGCTCCCCACTTTGCTAGTGCCTTCTTCGTATCCTGAAAGTATCTTGTATTTAATCTGCATTTTGCATTTGGTATGCATGTGCCCATGTTGTTTCCCTGATAGGATGTAATCTCACACTTCATTTTTGCTTTTTCGAAGCACAGGAAACAGTTTCTTCACGGGAGGCTCCATATACCAGCGAAATGCCTACGTTCCAAGCACTGACCCACACCTAAGAAGCTCCCTAATGATTAAAGCCAGCTGGGAAAGGGAAGGATGCCACCACTTTCTATTCCAAATTTCAAAGTTCCCTAGCCATCCCAGTGCTCCTTCTGATCAGGTTCGAATGCCTCCTGCTGACCCCGTGCACAGCTCCGGAGGGCCTCGGATGCCTCCTTCCGTCTCTGCTGCTCCAGTTCCCGGACCTTCTCCGGGCCTCGGCTCTTGCAGCGCCTGGCTCCTCCTGCACCTTTCTCCCCGCCCCTTCCCGAGGCCGGACTCGCACCGGAGTAGCCACGGGCCCTGAAGAGGGACCGAGGCCTCTGGAGCCGGCTCTCGCGTCTACTGGGTCACCGGAGCCCTCGGCGTTGGAGCTCGCTGGGCTGTCGAGCTCCAAATCGGAGATTTCCCAGGCCGGCGTCTTAGTGATTGGCGGCCACAGCCCTGCCTCGGCGAGCCCGAGCTGCTCTACAGCAGCTCTACCGCTTCGGACCGGCCCACAGCAGCCAAGAGGGCTGCTCCCTTCCCACACCCCGGGGAACACTCCTTCAATCTCCTCCCCTCGCCCCCCGCCTCTCGATTTCCGCCCACCAGGCCCCGCCTCCCATCGGCCACACCCCTTGAGTTCCGCCTTTCAGACCCAGGCCCCGCCCCCACCCGCCAGCTTTCTCCTAGAGCCGTAGGCTGGCTCTCTGTAATGTCTCTCCTTGCTCCTCCTTCCGGGTTCCTTCGGTTCGTCCCCTCGACTTTTCCGCGTCTCTTCCGCTCCAGCCACCATTGAGTCTTCCACTCCTCCGCCTTCCTTTAAGGCCCCTCAGCCCCTTCAGGTAGCGGCCCCGAATCATTACAGTCATGGCTCTGCCGCCCAGCCAAGGTCGCCTCCCTTCCCCAAACGTCCCCCCACCTATTTTCCTTCCGGCGCGCGCCGCCCGGCCCCGGATGCCGGGGACACACCAGGTCCTTCCGGCGCTGGGCCGTTAGTGGGCGGTGCCTCGGCTCCGGCTGAGGGCTGAGGTGATCTCCCCGCTCCGAGCGGCCTCAGCGTGGTGCGCAAACGGGAGGTCGGGGTCGGCACGATGGCGCGGAAGAAAGTGCGGCCGCGGCTGATCGCGGAGCTGGCCCGCAAGGTGCGCGCCTACCGGGAGCTGAAGGCGCGGCCGCGGGACTCGGAGCGCTTCGCCCTGGACTACGAGACGATGACGCGGCCGCACACTGGCCGCCGCCTCCCGGAGAAGGCCTGGGCCGACGTGCGGCGTGAGAGCCGCCTCCTGCAGCTGCTCAGCCGCCTGCCGCTCTTCGGCCTGGGCCGCCTCGTCACGCGCAAGTCCTGGCTGTGGCAGCACGACGAGCCCTGCTACTGGCGCCTCACCCGCGTGCGCGCCGACTACACGGCGCCGGTGCGTGGGTGCTCCCCCGCGCCCGCCCGGGGTCCCTTCTCAGCCCCGCCCAGGGGCCACGGGGTCCCTTCCCAGCCCTTCCCCCGGACCACGGGGTCCCTTCCCAGCCCCGCCCCCCGGGAGACTGGGTCTCTTCCCAGCCCTTCCCCCGGACCACGGGGTCTCTTCCCAGCCCCCCCCCCACTGGGGCCACGGGGTCCCAGCTGGAAAAGCCTTTTATAAATGGGGCGCTGGGGTCCAGAGGGCGAAGGGGCTTTCCCCCAAGGTCACACCGTGAGTCAGGCAGTGGGAGAGCAGGGTACGACCCTGGTCTCTGCATTTCCTCAATAAAGCAGACTTTTTAATACGCCAGGTTTATTTGGGGGGAGGGAAGGATCCCAGTTTTGTTTTTTAAATTTCTGTTGTACTTACCATAGATTAGTTTCTATCTTAACCTGTTTGTCACATTCTAGTTTGTATCTGATTTATTGGTAGATTATGAAGGTCAAGGAGTAGAAGTTGCAGAGAGAAACAGGTTTTGGCTCATGATAAGAAGTACCTTTCTAGTTGTGTGACTCTGGGCAAGTCACTTAACCCCAGCTGCCTCACCAAAAAAAACAGAAGAAAAAACCTTCCTAATAGTTAGCTGCTCAGAACTGGAATGGGCAGCCTCTGGAGGAAGTGAATGAAATCCATCACTGGAAGTCTTAAAGCACAGGCTGGATAACCACAGGTAGACACATAAAGGGAATTCCTTGTTGTTTATGTGTCAGATTAGGTGATATCTGAGGTTCCATACATCGGAGATTCTGTGATTCCATTTTAATTAATTATGATACCATGGGTTGCCTGACCTCCCTCTCTCCTTGTCATTGCTTTCTAGAATTTGGATCATGGAAAGGCCTGGGGGATCCTGACCTTCCGAGGTAAGGAAAGTGGGGGGCTAGAGTTCTGGGACTGATTGCTTATTGGTGTTTGTATTTGTTCATGGGAGAGGAGAGACCACCTACTTCATAATGGCAAGACTGTGCCAGCAGTAGACACTCATTTGCTTCAATTTTTCCCCAGGTAAGACAGAGAGGCAAGAAAAGGAGATTGACCAGGTCATGTACCACGATTGGAGGCTGGTGCCCAAGCATGAAGAAGAAGCCTTTACGAACTTCACCCCTAAGTCAGAGGAAACTGTCCGATATGTGCCTTACCCTCCTTTATTCCGGGCCATGATCTTTGCAGAACGACAGAAGCAGGGAAACCTCAGCGCTGAGGAGCCCATGATAGATTTGGAGAAAAGAATCTTTTTTCCAAAGCAAAATGCCAATAACCAAGCAGAAGGCACTCCAGTATAAAGGCCCTGAACTGTTTGGTCATGTGCATAATGAATTTACCTGTGGAACATTCTTTTTAATGAAGAACTTAAAGAATTTATGTCCTAGAAAACCAGTTTTATATTATATTTCTGGTGATGCACTGATTAATCTGAGCCCATGGAATTCTGTAAAAGTTGTGGTAAAATTTAGCATTTTGTGAAGCCCATGCTCTTTCACCATACCTCCTCATACCACCACCGAATGTTCAGCTCATTTGGGCCTCTTATTCCCTTAGAAAGGGTCAGAGGTGTCTTTGGGAGAGACCACAGAGGCAGAGGTGCCTTAAGTGCTCCATAGTGCTTGAGTTGAATATCTGACTCTTCAAGGAGTAGTCCAGGTAGAGGCATAAAGTTGATAAAACCACCCTAGGGCTTCCTTTATTTTGTTTCATTTTACCTTTCACTGGGAGCCAGAACCTGGTTCTGTACAAATACAAATAAAGGAAGGTAAACTCTAGCTGCCTGGCTTATTTGGTTCATAAATCATCAAGATCCAAACACGGGAAAGCTGAGTTTTCACTAGTGAGCTGTTGAGAAAGAAGGGCCTTTGGTGACTGTCTTGAGCTATTTAGCTGAATGCTGAGCCTGGCCCAACCCTCAGGTATTTGTGGAACTACTAGACTGGCTCACTTGGGGAAGATGACTTTCATAAATGCTAGAATGAGAGCAGTGTAGGATGATGGGTTATAAAGTACAGGATAATATGACAGGTTATATGAAGGAAGTTACAGGGGAAAGATACTGAAAGCTTCATGTTCATTTTCTGCATAGTAATAGTAATAATAGCATATTTCTATAGTGCTTTATAGTCTCCAAAATCCTATCCAGTAAACATTTGTTAAAGCGCCTACTATGTGTTAGGAAGTATACTAAGCACTGGAGATAAAATTAGTATAAAGATAGTCCCTGTCCTGAGCAGCTAGTGGATAGAGCCTCATGCCTGGAGTCAGGGAGACCTAAGTTCAAATCCAGCCTCAAGACACTATGCCCAGGCAAGATATTTAATTAGCTGGAGAAGGAAAAGGCAAACCATTCCAGTATTTTTGCAAAGAAAATCCCAAATAGGATCCCATGAAAAGTCAGACATGAGCGAAAAACAACAAAGTTCCTGCCTTCAAAGATCATGTCATCTAAAGGGGGAGACGGTACCTGGTAGTCTATGGGTGGAGGGGGACATTTTGTTTCATGTAGTTGAGACCAGGCAGAGCAGTAGATACAGTAGGTAGTGTCAGCCCTCTAATCAAGGAAGAGGAGGCTGAGGGAGTTGGTGACAATAAAAAAGCTTAAATCAGCAGCCTGACTGTGAGTTTAGAAGTGATGAGCTTATTCTGGCAAGGGCATCTGTTCCACGAAGTTGAAAACAGGCAGATCAGCAGATGGTTAAGTGGGGTACATGAATATAAGCTTGAGGCAAGGACTTTTCATTTTTGTTTTTGTATCTTTGGTGCCTAGTAGTCAACAGGCGTTTTGTTAAAGCACCTACTATGAATCAGGTACAGAGCTAGGCACTGGGGAACAAAGAATGAAATAGTCTGTGTTCCCCAAAAGCTTTTAGTCTATTGAGGGAGACAATGTGAATATAATGAATATATAATCATAGCTAGCATTTATGTAGTGCTTTAGCTTCACAAGTTATCTCATTTGATTCTGGGATGTAGGTGCTATTATCTCCATTCTACAGATGAGCAAACTGAGGCTGAGAGGTTAAATGACTGGCCCATAGCTAGTAAGTGTCTGAGGCAGGATTTAAACTATGGTCTTCCTAACTACAGGTCCAATGCTCTTACCTACTATGCCACTTAGCTGCCTACAAAATAAATACCAGGTAATTTTGGGAGGGAGAATATCAGCAGCTGGAAGGGTAAGAAAAGGCTTCAAGTTCAAGGTGTGCATGAACTGAATCTTGGAGGGGGAGGGGGAATGAGGTTCTAAGAAGTGAAGGTAAGGAGGAAGTGAATTCTGAGTGTGGGGTACAGCCAGTGCAAAAGAAATAGGAAGGCAAGTATGGCTGTACTGCAGAGTGTATGGAGGAGAACAATGTACAAGGCTGGAAAATTTTGGTATTAGGTTGTGAAACAATAGTAAATCCTTGGAGTTTGTTGAGGAAGAGTGACATTGTCAGACCATTAGGAAAATGACTTTGGAAGCTGTGTGGAGGATGGATTAGATAGGGGAGAGGCTGGAGGCAGGAAAACTTTTGGTAGTCCAGGTGAAAAGTGATGACTTGAGCTAGTGATGACTTAAGTGAAGTAAAAGCCTTGTGATGTTCATCTGGAGCTCTGGAGAAAGACTAGGGTTATCTGGGAGTTTACCTGCATATAGAAGAAAAACCCATGAAAGTTGATGAGGTCACCAAGTGAGAAAGTAAAGAAGAGGGCCAAATGAGGTGCATTTACAGTTACTGTAGAGGGTATGATTTAGATCTTGAACCAACAAAGAAGACTAAAGAGTAATCAGGAGAACCAAGAGAGAACAATAAATACCTGTTCATAAAAACCTGGAGAAGAGAGATTGCTCTGGAACAGAGTAGTCAACAGTGTCAGATGGAGTCCAGAGGTCAAACAGAATGAGCATTTGAGGAAACGGTGGTCAGATTTGGCAACTAAGAGATCACTGGTAATTTTGGAGAAGGCAATTTCATTTGACAAAGTCAGAGGCCAGATTGCACAGGGTTGAAAAGTGAGGAAGGAGATGTAGACAGTTTTTTAAAATTAGTTTGAGTTTGAAAGGGAAGAGAAGGTAGTCTTTAAGGTTTTTTGAAGATGGAGATAGGAGATAGGAAAAATTGACAATTAGAGAGCTGGCTGAAGAAAATAGGGATGGAATGAATGTTAAATGAAGAGGGGATGGCCTTGGTGTGGGAAAAGATCGCATTATCAGAGACTGGAATAACGTAAGTTAGAGTGATCACCTCTGCACATAAAGAAGATTACTTTGGAAGCAGACTGGAGTGGTGATAGATTTGAGGCTGGAAAACCAACTAAGAGGCTGTTAACAATAATCTAGGCAAGAGGTGAAGAGGGCCTGAACTAAGCTGGTAGCTGTGTGAGTGGAGAGAAGGGAGTAGATGCAAGAGATGTAATGGAAGTTGAAATGTCAAGATGTGACAGCTGATTGGATATGTGGGGTGAGGGTGAAGAGTTTAGGATAATGCCAACTGTTATGAACTGGGAAGACTGAATGAATGCTGGTGGCTTTGACAGAAATAGGAGAGTTTGGAAGAGGATGAGTTCTTGGGAAAAGATAATCCTATTTTGGCTATGATGATTTAAAGATGTCTTCACAATATTTAGTCTGAAATATCCAATGGGCAATTAGTGTTGCTTCAGGACTAAAGTTCAGAAGTGACTGGAAATAGAGATAGAGAAGTGGAAATATATATGTATAATATATATACAATACATATATACACACATTTTCCTTCTCTCTCTTTGTCTCTGTACAGAGATGATAGTTAAAGCCATGAGAGCTGATGAGATTACCAAGAGAGTGTACAAGGAGAAAAAAAGAGGGCCTTGGATAGAACTTTGGGAGTAGGGGATATGGTGTAGGTTTCGATGATGAGTCAGCAAAGGAGCACAAAATGGTGTCATGAAAATCCAGAGAGGACTGAACATCTAGCAAGAGAGGGTAATTAACAGTGTCAAATGCTGCTAGCATATAGGTCAAGAAGGATAAGAAGGGGTGGGATGGGGTGGAAGACCATTAGAATGGACAATTAAGAGATCACTGGAGAGAAGTTTTAGTTGAGTGAGATGAGGTCAGAAGCCAGATTGTAAAGAGTTAAGGAGTGAGAGGAAGGCAGTGAGTATAGACAGCTTGTTCAAAGAATTTGGGTGGTAAAGGGAGGAGATAAAGGACCATAGCTCCCGGAGATGGTGAGGTACATAGTGAAGGTTGGATTTTTTGGGAGACACTTGAAGATACTTGAAAGAAGGAAGGAACTACTTGATAGGGAGAGGTTGGATCATGAGAGAGGATGATTTCAGATGCAGGCTTCTGGAGAGGAAGAGAGGAGGGAAGGGATCAAGTGCAAATGTAGAGGGGTTCTCGCAATGAAAGTCCTCAGCTGAGCGTGGGATGCGAAGGGAAGATGTGGAAGGCTTGAAGATAGAAAGTTTGGAAGAGCTATTGTGAGACAGAAAACCAATTAGGGAGAATTAACAGTATTGCCTTGCCACAGTAAAGGCCCAGTTGGGATTAGATGTCAAATTTGTATTGACTCCAGTTAGCTTGATTTTGTGACTTCTTCAGTTCTGTTCATCAGCACGTGAGCAAGAGTGGAGGGAAGATGGTAAGTATCCAGGGTTGGAGACTGGCAAGGCATGGGAGTCAGTAGGACAAGGAAGCAAGGATTTCTGGGTAGAGTTGAGATGGAAAAAGGAGGAAAGATGGTTAAATCAGAGCAGGGATGATGACCTGAGAATATATTGAGGGAAATGGACATCAGATGATAATAATAATAGCTAACATTTATACAGTGTTTACCATGTGCCAGATGCTTTAAAATTATCTCATTTGATCCTCATAACAACCCTAGGAAGTAGTTGCTATTTTATCCTCATTTTAAGGATGAGGAAACAGACAAACTGAGGTTAAATTACTTTCCCAGGATCACATAGCCAGCTAGGATCTGAGGCTGTATTTAAACTCAGATCTTCCTGACTTCAGGCCCTGTGCTCTATCTACACAAATTAGCTGCCTTAATGTCCTAATGAAAGATCAAGAATAGTTTTTAGGGTACAGATTATGATCAACCAAAGGAATTTCAGAATTTTTGAACATGGAAGTATATGTGATAGGGAGAATGTGTGGTCTTTTTGTGGCTGAAGTGTTCTGGAGGAACACATCATACATGGCTTTTGAGATGGAGGAATTGGGAAGTCAGGGAATTTGAAGGAACATCAACATGTATTTTGAAGTTGTTGAAAAGTATGAAGGCTTGAGTTTAAAGTAGAGAAGAGGAGTATAAGCTAGCTTCTGAACTGCTTGGGAAAGGAGAGAGGATGACCTGGTGGGTGGATGTATATTAATACCCCAGAAGATCTGGGCTGAGAAACTTGGATAGAACGAACCTTAAAGTAGAAGAGATTGCTGACTGATAGCAGCTAAGTTTGGAACTGGCAGGGGACAACAAGAAATATTTCGTAGTTGTTGGGGGAGGGAGGAGAGAAATGACAACAAAGTCTAGTCAGTGTTGTAGAGGCTTTCCAGGGAAGCTAGGTCTCTGAGTGAGATGGAAGAATGAAGGGGTTTTAAGATGTTACAGTGGTAGGGGTGAACAGAACTAGAGTGAGACATGGAAGGGGGAGGGCTGAAGAGGATAAGGATGAGAAAATGGGATAAAAGAGAAAAGGGCCTTGAAAAGAACCTTGGGAAACGTCCACATTTAGGGGATATGATGGATGTGATAAACTAGCAAAGGAGATGGGCAGCCAGGTGGCTAACTGGACTGTGTGCAAGAGCCTAGAGTCAGACTTGATGAATTCAAGCCTGGACACTTTAGACACTAGCTGTGTGACCCTGAGCAAGTCACATAACCCTGTTTGCCTCCATTTCCTCATCTTTAAAATAAACTGGAGAAGGAAATGACAAACTAATCTGGCATCTTTGCCAAGAAAATCCCAAATGGGGTCACAGAGAGTCAGATGACTGAAAACGACTTAACAAAAGCAAAAGATAGATAATCAGGTAAGAAAACCAGAAGAAGATGCTATTTGGGAAATCCAAATCGAGGAAGTCTTGAGGAGAGGGTGGTGAACAGGGTCAAATGCTGGTGCCACGGCACCCTTGGGCAGTCCCATATTCCCCATCACCGGGCACCTGGCAGTTTGCTGGTCAGATGGTGAGAGAGGCCGGTAGCAGTGAGTGGGAGACAAGGAGCAAAGGCTCTTCGTTCCCCGAGGCTGAGGAGCAGGCATTTAATAAATGTTAGAACAAAGATAATTTCCCCACAACAAACTCCTGGGGGTGGTGGTGGAGGTGTTAGGAACCACAGAAATGATCTTGTTCAGATCCCTCAGTTTACAGGTGATTAAAGTCACAACTGGGTGAAGTGTGCTCTGGCCCAAACTGCTAGTACTGTAGTAACCAGCTGACACAACCCCTGCCCTTGGAAAAGGCTGCTGGCCTCCCCTCATCTTCACTAAAGAGGAAACAGGCTGAGAAAAATAAGTGATTCACCTAGTCAGCAAGCATTTATTAATTGCCTACTATATGCCAGGCATCGTGCAGGGCGGGCCCACGGCCCAAGTTCGGAAACAAGCCGAAGGCTACAGTTACGTGTAGACAGGCTTCAAGGCAGGTGACCCCAAGAGAGAAGGTTCCCAGTGGAAGGCGAGATTTTAGCCGGGACCAGGGGCGGCCATAGAGGCCACAAAACCCGGGACTGGACCTGGAGCCGCGCTCGCTCCGAGGGTGTTCCTGAGTAGGCGGAGCGAGGGAGAAGGCGAGTCAAGTGCCCACAGAAACAAAGACAACGGAGCCCCATCGGCTAGATCCAACTCCCGGAGCGTCCACGTGGGGAGAGGCGGGGCAGAGGATCCGGTACGGAGGCCGACGAGGAAAGGGGGCCTCAGTACGAGAGGCTCGACCATGCTGCTGTCCTCTGCGATTTCCAGCCGGAGCGGCGGACGGAAGCCGACGGGCGCCATGTGACGCGGGGCGCGGCCTCTTTAAGAGGGGACTCTTACCTTCGCCCTCCCGCCCCGGGAGTGCTCGCGCCCACGCTCGTGCCCGCCGGCTCCCGCCGGTGACGCCTCTGCATCGCTGTCGCCATCATGATCTGCCTGGTGCTGACCATCTTCGCCAACATCTTCCCCTCAGGCAAGTGGAGGCGGGGCGAAGGGGCCGAGGCGAGGTCGAGGCTGGAGATGGGGCGGCCCCGGGGGTTCCTGATGCCGCTTCTTCCCGCCCCTCCCCCATCCCCTCCTCTCCGCAGCCTGGACCGGCCTGAATGAGCGGACCTTCCTGGCTATCAAGCCCGATGGCTTCCAGCGGCGCCTTGTGGGCGAGATCATCCGGCGCTTCGAGAAGAAGGGCTTCAAGCTGGTGGGGCTGAAGCTGGTGCAGGTGAGCCGGGCCCGTCCTTCCCCCGCAGGGAGTCCCCTTGCTGCGTCCGCCTCCCTCGCGGCCGGACCTCGGAGGCTTGGGGATGCGGCGCTGCGGGGGAGCTGAGCCGCCTCTGTTCGCAGGCCTCCGAGGACCTCCTGAGGGAGCACTACTCCGCCCTGCGGGACCGGCCCTTCTACAGCCGCTTGGTCAAGTACATGAGCTCGGGCCCCGTGGTTGCCATGGTGAGGACGGCCCGGCGGGGGTGGGGTGGGGTGGTGTGGGGCCGAGCACGTGGTGGCGGCTGTCCGGCCGGCGCGGTTCTGGACGGTCGGCCCTGGGGACCACTGAAACCTTCCCCTCCCCCGCTGTTCTATCCGGAAGGTGTGGCAGGGGCTGGATGTGGTGCGCTCTTCTCGGGCCCTCATAGGAGCAACTAATCCTGCCGACTCTTCCCCGGGCACCATCCGAGGAGATTTCTGTATTGAAGTTGGCAAGTAAGAGCGCTTGCTGCTGCTGCTGCTACTACTACTGCTGCGCATGTCATGGTGTCCCCTGCAGTTTCCCCCCGACCCCTGAACGGGGTCACTGGGCTAGCATCTGCCAGCCCAGGGAACACGCTTGTGTGACTTCACCCCGGTCGCCTCCTTTTCCTTTAGCGCTTTCCTTCTCGTCCTTTCTTGACAGAAACGTCATTCATGGCAGTGACTCAGTGGAGAGTGCCCGCCGCGAGATTGCCCTCTGGTTCCGTGCAGATGAACTGCTCTGCTGGGAAGACAGCGCCGATCGATGGCTCTATGAGTAGTTCGCCCCTGCGATAGCTTCCTTAGGGTTACGACTGGGAAGAAAGGGGCATTGCTTATGCACCTGAACTTCCCTCCAGGTTCATGATCAAACCCATTCCTCACCTTAAACTCCTAGTTTACAAACGGAGGCCCGAGTAAAACGTTCCATAGGAAAATTTTCCCCAGGCTGGCTCCTAGGTTGCCTTGCCTCTCAGAAGTACCTCTTGGTAAGATGCGAGGAGGGGTTGGCTTTTTCCTGGTGAAAACAATTACCTGGGAATGGGGAGATACTTACCTGAGAGCTGAACTCAGGCGACTTGGGGTACTGAGGCCAGTGGAGGTGTGGTTGAATTTGGCTTCATCTTATGCTCCCTTGGGAGATGGGGAATAGGAGATGTGTTTGGCAAAAATAATCATTGGGTAAATATACTCAATACACCTTGCTCTAGCAGGTTCTTATCTGTCTGCAGGTTTAGTGGTGAGTAGAACTAGAACAGAATTGTTTTGGTGTTGAGTCCTTCCTCTACCCCAGAAATGCCTTTGGAGAACAGCACCATTCCCCGAGCCTGGCAGTGACAGCCATTCTTAGGGTAGCTGTATGTAGGTTGGAAATCCTCAAACCGAACCTGGGAGGCCAAGGGAACTCGGTGACCGTGGTCATCCTGGGTGGTTGGGGTGGACGGGATGAACAGAGGGAATCATCCAGCTCTGGTAGCCAGGTCAGGACCTGAATTGAAGTAACTTTCCCTTTGAGGTGCAGCTTCTCCCTTCCCTTGGGCAGGATGTTTATAGCACAAAGGAAATGCAACAGCTTTTAAAATAATAAATCCTGTAAAAACCTTTTTCTTCTATCTTATTTTGGGATCAGGCATTATGGTGATCAGCTAAAATGAAATAAAAGGGTGTGAGGGGGTATGCAGAAGTAAACAGTCAGGTGGCCATGGTTAAAGAAGGCTTCAGGGATGATTTAACACATTTATTACATACAGAACAGGTACATGGTTCGGTTGCAGGGCCAAAGCCTGGGGAGATTATTCCTACTGCCCTCTCTTTACAGGGACACCAGTCTCAATGCTAACTGTGCAGTGTTCAGGCCTTCAAAGACACTTGGAAATCCTTTTGTAACATACAATGAACTTTACATACATCACAGTGGAAAGATGGCAGGGAGAAATGGAGAAGCCAGTCAGCTTTCACCTTGCGCCACACAACTGAGGGGGAGGGGATGAGCTCTAGACCTGGGGCTGCCCTTGATAGTGTGCTTCTCTTAGAGGATGGTGGAGCCAGATGGGGGATGCTTAGGCTGCCCTGTACAGCTTTAGGAAGGATGAGATCGGCAGCTGGGAACTCAATCCTTTATCCCCAGGGGCCTAAACAGCAACTCCGATCTGGGGGAGGGGCGGGGGGGGGGGAAGACATAGGTAAGGCCTGTACAACTCTAGTCATCCCCCAGGGCTGGTGGCCACTGAAGCACAGTCTGTGGAACTACAGTTTATTTTGGCAGGCCATAGGGCTATGGGCCAGTGGCACCACTGTCTTTCTCAAGAACCCATTGGGAGCCAAACCTCATCCCAGCTGAGCTGCTTCCTTGGAACCATCTTCCTTCCCTCACCACTGGGGCCTGGCCCAAGATGGCTCCTTTTCCTAGCTCCCAGCAGCAGATATCTGCTCCAGGACAGCAAACCTCCCAGGCCAACCCTAGGCACTTAATAATGTGGCCAGGGAGCGTGGACTCTATAGGCATTCCTGCTCTGGGAGGCCATCTTTACACAGCACCTGGGCACACTATGCTTTTATTGCCTTCAGAGATTCAAGGCAAGAGGCTGACCCCTGAGAGAGAGACAGTCCAGGACTGGTGTCTACTTTACACCTTCTGAAACCCTAGGAGGAATGAGGAACCTGAAGGGAGCAGGGTGGCAGGTACAGTGTAAGCACTGAGCCTGGGCTAGAATGCAGTAAAGCTGAAGTGTGGTCGGTCAGGGCAGGAGGGAAAAGAGGCTTGCACAACTTGAGGCCCCAGAATGCAGGTCACCTCATGCTCAGTGGCCTGTGGGAGGGCATAAGAGACCTGGCTCACCATTAGGTTTCCAGTTGAGCATGTATGGGGAGCCAAAGGCCAGGGCAGACATCTCCTCTTTATGTGGAGGAGGATGGCTCCTAAGCCTCAGGATTAACAGGTCATATGACCACCAGTGCCCCTTAAGGCAGTGCTGACCCACTCCTAGGCTATTTCTCTTAGCAGGGGCCAGAAGCCTAGGCCCCTAACATGCACAGAAATTCTAAATGGAATAGAGGTGGGGCAGGAGAGGAGGAGAGAAGGCTCAAAGTGGAGGAGTTCATTGACGTAACCTCCCCCACTGCCTGCAAGTGTGGTTTGGTGGACAAAAGCCCAGATGAAAACGTGCCCTAGTAGGTTCCCTGGGTTGTCTGCTATTCAGCCCAGAACCCGGTGCCCCCCATTCATGCAAGACAGTCTGCCACAAGCTTCCAGCTCCTTCTCTGGCTCAGGTTGGCCCCTAGGATCCTACTGCCCCTGTCCAATTGTCCACACTCCCCCACCTTGCTCTAGTATTCTCCATTCCTCCTTTCTTTTTGCCAAGTCTGCCACATCCTCCCCACCAGCTTGAGAAGCCTCCAGTCCTATGGTGAAAGCTGCAAATTGAGAGGTTAGAAAAAGGGCAGGCAGGTGCTTGGGCCTCCTGGAGGGGCTGGCTGCATCCCTGGCAGTGGGAGGAGGGCAGGAGTTCTGTATGTACACCTTGGCATTCAGGCAGGAGGGATGGGGTAGCCAGCAGGAAGCAGGCTCTCACTCAGGAATGTAGGAGACCTGCCACACAATGATGTGGCTCCTCTCGGCCTTGGACAACATGGGTTTCACCTGATTCACATCCCCTGCATTCTCTTCTGATTCATCATCTTCTCCATCACCTGCAGAAAAGGTAGGAAGGCCTATAAAGAAGAGTACTTGGTGCCCAGAACAGCCTGGGTCTGTCCCTGAGGAAGGGGTCCTGGCTGGGGCAAACGCAGAAAAGGAAACCAGCTTAAGCAGAATACCCTCTACAGCAGGGCCACCTACTCACCGATCCGGAAGTCAATGTAGCCTTCACCACCACTTAACACAAGCACATTCTTCAACTTCTGGCCCTCAGGGTCCGAGGCTGCAGGGCCAGGGTTTTCTGAGGGGCTGTCCAGCACACTACCATTGAGGGTCGCGAGTACGTTCCCTGTGAAAGCAGAGTGGGCTTCAGGGGAACATTCAGAGTTCCCTTCCTAAGGCTAGGTGGCAGATGCAGTACAGTGACTCAGGAAAGAAGGCTCTTGGAATAGGTCAGGGAAAGAAATCTGGACTGGGGCTGTGTACCTGTGAGAAAGGTATGGCCTTCTTACCTGGCACAGAGACAAAAAACTTGACAGCATCCCGGTGGCCATGGAAGCACAGCTGGGCCTGTGCCATGGAACAATAAGGGATGAAGCTGCTGGCTGACCTGTCACTACTGTCATCTCCATACACATGGATGATGCCACCAGGTCGAGGTCCCTCCCCTGATGTAGGGGATGTCTTGTTGGCTGAAGAAAGAGACAGAAGATGGGATAAGTCTTCTTCCTCCAGGGACACAAGGCCCAGGGGTTCAAGAAGAGAGGTTCAGTGTGACCTAGTCACCCAGGGTGGAAAGGTGGAAGAGTCTGGTGCAGCAGCTAGCATGGATTGTTGATGGCATGCCCCAGCCCATGATTCAGGCCTGTGTCCCAGGCCAGGCCATTCCCAGAACCAGACGACTGAAAAAGAAAAGGTTACTTGGGCTGGGAAAGGCTATATTAGGCTTATCCATCCCATTTAATGATGAAAGCTGCTCTGCACCCTGCTTTCTAGACAGAAACCTCTGCCTCGATTTGGGGTTGGACTTACCACGGAGCCCCAGAAGCTGGCCACGGTGCAGGACTACCGCTATGTAAAAAGGAGAAAGAGAAGTTGTTATGGAAAGCAAGAAAGGATCAAATCACCCAGGCAGCAACTATAGGCTGCTGCTCTGCACTGTGGGAAGGTGAGATCAGGAATAGGGACAGGATTACTGGGGACCTGAAGGCCCATTTCTGCCTTCCCATTAGAGCACCAGAGAGAGACCTTGGGTTTAGCATAGTTTTGATGGTCAGACAGCAGGGGAGGTCCCAAGGCCACTGGACAGTTGCAGCTGTCCATGTGCCACAGCATAGGAGTGTGGAGTTATCAACCCTCTGCAGACAAAGCTGTGTCCAGCCCTGCCTCCTGGAGTCAACAGTGCCTCAGGCCCAGGCCCCAAGACCACTTACTTTCAGTTAATGGGATTGAGATGACAACACCATTGCCTGTGCCCACCCAGAGACGGTTGCCTGCGATAAGAAGAGCTGTGATGCGCACGAAGGAGAAGCCCAATTTGCCAGTGCCTGAGTGTCAGAGAGAAGGGCAGAATCAGTTAGGCGAGGCACTTCTTTGGAAGTTACAGCAGCCCCTCCCTCAGGCCAGCCCAAGTGTCTCACCCAGCATCTTGCTAACATAAGGTTCAATGTCAACATCCTGCAGGTGCTGATGGGTGTGGGCATGGTACAGCCGCAGTGTAGAATCCAAGCGAATGGACACCCACACGCCGTCGCCAATCCATGCCAGCTGCCGCACCTGACTCTCTCGTCGTGGATGTGCATCAAATGACTTCTGTAGTACAAATACAGCACGGGTTGGTCTCCTGTGGTCAGACTAATCTTCTATGCATGTATGTATCAAGGAGCATAAGGAGTCCTTATGAGTTCACTCTTCTGACTCCCCTAAAGGTCAGTTACAGAGAGAGCTCCTCCTGGGAGCTTGGGCTCCCCACAAACCCCAGTGCTGGCTGCTCACCTCTATCTGCATTGTTTTCGGCTGGATGACATGGACCTTGTTCTTATAGCCACACCAGACCCGATCATAGACAACAGCCATGCACCGAATGGAGTGGTGTGGGTGGCCCAGGTCCATTAGATGGTAGTTGCTGAGGTCCCACTGGCCATCTGGAGAGAAATCCCAAGGCTCAGAGACTGATAAGGCCAAAGAGCCTAGCAGCTGCTCCCATTACATACAGTCTGAGAGGAGGGGCTGGATCAGTTGATAATGCATAGGACAAGGTTTCCATCAACCTCCAAAGACCACCATGCTTAAAACAGGTACTGACTGAAGGTGGGGAAGAGATTCCACGGTGGCCATTTTGTAACTTACCCAGGGCCTTGGACTCATCACCTCCCAGAGAGGCAGGGAAAGGGTCAGGGCACCTTTGTCCCTGTTAAGTCCAGGACCAATAACCCTGTTCCCATCCCTGGCCTCACCTTCCCCACGGTGAAAGATGGCCAACGTCCCATCTGCTAATGCTACCAGCACCCGGCCTTTTACATGCCTGCAAGAGAAACCTCAGTTAATCAAGAGCCTGGACCCAACCAATCTTGGCGATAGTGGTACCAATTCTGACCCGACAGAGGGATGTAGAAGGAAGCCCTGCTTCTTCCTGCTTTTCACTGCTCCTTAAGCAGAACACAGCCTGGCTCAGGCCAGAGGAAAGGGTGACTCTGGACACCTACGCTCCAACGGCAGTCCCCTGCCACCCCCAGCCAACCTGTTTACTCTGCTTCCCTGGAATATACTTACACCAGGCTCAGAACGGAGTCCTTTAGCTTGATGGAATGCAGACACTTTTTCCAGTTGGCCACTGCTGAGTGCACATAGAGCCTGCAAGGGGGAAAAGGTGGGCAGAAGAGTGAATGACTTCAGTCTCCAAGCTTGCTCCCCGCTCCAGTTTACCTCCACGGCAGCTTTTTCTGCAGACACGTCACTGCCTGTGTT